TGTTGTGTATCAGTAATATACACATACCAGTGTGTAGTGTATCAGTAATATACACATGCCAGTGTGTAGTGTATCAGTAATATGCACCTACCAGTGTGTAGTGTATCAGTAATATACACATACCAGTATGTGCTGTATCAGTAATATACACATACCAGTGTGTGGTGTATCAGTAATATACACATATCAGTGTGTAGTGTATCAGTAATATACACATACCAGTGTGTAGTGTATTAGTAATGTACGCATACCAATGTGTAGTGTATCAGTAATATACACCCACCAGTGTGTGGTGTATCAGTAATATACACATACCAGTGTGTAGTGTGTCAGTAATATACACATACCAGTGTGTAGTGTATCAGTAATATACACATGCCAGTATGTAGTGTATCAGTAATATACACCTACCAGTGTGTATTATCAGTAATATACACATACCAGTTTGTAGTGTATAAGTAATATACACATGCTAGTGTGTAGTGTATCAGTAATATACACATGCCAGTGTGTAGTGTATCAGTAATATACACATGCCAGTGTGTAGTGTATCAGTAATATACACCTACCAGTGTGTAGTGTATCAGTAATATACACCTACCAGTGTGTAGTGTATCAGTAATATACACATGGCAGTGTGTAGTGTATCAGTAATATACACCCAACAGTGTGTAGTGTATCAGTAATATACACATACCAGTTTGTAGTGTATCAGTAATATACACATGCCAATGTGTAGTGTATCAGTAATATACACGTACCAGTTTGTAGTGTGTCAGTAATATACACATGCCAGTGTGTAGTGTATCAGTAATATACACGTACCAGTGTGTAATGTATCAGTAATATACACCTACCAATGTGTAGTGTATCAGTAATATACACATACCAGTTTGTAGTGTATCAGTAATATACACATGCCAGTGTGTAGTGTATCAGTAATAAACACATACCAGTATGTGCTGTATCAGTAATATACACATACCTGCTATATTGATGTTTGCAGAACACTCTGCAAAAAAACATAAAAGAAATTTATGGATAATTCTTCAAATTACCAAAATATACAATACAAAAAACATTACAAATTTGTTTATATTGAATGTATAATTTCCATGAAATAAATGTAATTTTAAATATAATATTTGTTGGTAGCAAAATCATTCATGCACCAAGAGAAAGAAATCGGTGTGGTAATTGTGACGTCATAGACATTTGTAAGACACATCTTTCAGAAGCTTCATAGCAAATTGTTTTATCGAATGCATAAATTTACAAAAAAAAACAGAATTATTTCAATTATTCAAAACTTACTGTCGCCATCTTGGTCGTCAGCTGTTAAGATAAAACATATATGTAATGAATGAATAAATAATTACAATATATATGGTATTTATATGAATTGCATGTATACGTGCGCAATATCGTAATGTAATTGTTATCGCGTATCTCTTTGAAATTAAAGTGATTTATATAAATGTAATTGTCATTTAAAATATATATTAGGTACTACTCACGTTCATCCGTGTTTTCAGCAGCTTGAAATAAAAACAAAACATTTCACGATATCAGAATGACAAGGAAATACATTTATATTCGTGTTGTCAGGAACACAAAATATATATCACCAAATTTTAAAAATTGCTCACAACGACAATTAAGCGGTTTACAGTACTGCTACAGAGCAGCTCGTCAGAACGAGAAGTAAAATAACCTTCAGATTAAACGTGGGAAACGATGGATTGTGGGAAAATCACACACATGCGCAGCGCGACGACCACCGCGCTTTAAGGTAGCTCACTTCCATTACAACATTAAAAAAATTGTTATGTGATAATTAACATAAATGCAAATCATTTATTTACTGGGAAAGAAGAATGTGTTTTCAATAAAGTATGTTTTAGACATTACGTAATACTCACGAGCATCGGTCGGGTCCTCTGTTGATAGAAATATATACAAAACATGTAATTAGAACTACAGACTTCCTGGAGGCGGAGCTACGTCACGGAATGTTCTACGTTGCTAAGACGCGCACCACTGTACACAGGGAATCTGTGAGAGCTGTTGTGAAACGCCGATCGAAAGCCGTGGCGAAAACAATTAAAAAAATTCGGCAAAGGAGCACCCCAACGTATATAGGTTTACATACAACTACGTAGTCAAGCACACCGATGCCAAATACTATTGAGCAATGTACCCAATGTGTATGTTACGAAACTGGACTGAACTGTATGAATGTACCCCCATGATACGTCAACAGGTGTCACGTGACACTATGTTGCACGTGGCCTGGTCTTTCAAGACCCGGGTACAATTTTATTTAATTTATTGTTTACCATCCATCTAGGTGGATGTCTAAATAATGTCCAATCAGATCAGTCGTTTTGTGTCACGTGATTTACCTCTACAATAACGTGTACATGGCTGAATACACACTTTGTCGTGTTATCGAGCTCACCAAGTGAATGTGACTATGTTATGCTATGTTTGGTATGTATCCCCCCATCTCCTGAATAAAGTTATGTACAGTAATTACCACCTATCTACTGTTAGCCTCGATTCACAATTCTGACATGTATTTTATTTAGTGTAAAACATACCTGTTAACATAACACAAGCATCATCATTGTCTGGATTAGAGTCTGTTTTCATTTTAAGCACTGCACACAGACAGGTGTACTGGTCACATTTGGCCGTGTCTGCTGGTAATGTGATATCACCCTCAACGGTGCCAGTTGCATTACTTCCAACCGATATAATTTCACTATAATCTGCCAAACTGGACTCTACGGACTTATCCTCGTATTGACAGGCATCTGTGTAGTAGAAACGAACGCCTAATAGGGTGTCTGCGACACTCGAGATTTCACTGTACGGTAGACTGAAGGACAAATTCCGTTCTTGTTTGCACATGGATTTGAAGAGAGTCTCAGTAGTAAACGATGCTCCTGCTTGTGTATCTAAATAAATAAATAAATAAATAAATAAATAAATAAATAAATAAATAAATAAATAAATAAATAAATAAATAAATAAATGAATGAATGAATGAATGAATGAATGAATAAATAAATAAATAATTTATAAATAAATAAATAAATAAATAAATAAATAAATAAATAAATAAATAAATAAATAAATAAATTAGTTTGATTAACTAATAATATGACAGAACCCCACACTCTCCCCATCACTTTCGCTGCATATGAAAGTTATTTTCACGAATGATGCGGTGTCTCCTGCGGCCGTACTTTCACTCGGCAAGTATATTCATGTACCCTAAGAAGAACACATTTTACTTCTAAATATTGTTTATTTCTCCTATGTTTCAAAAAATGGTACCCCTGAAGGACTACTTTGTTTGCTCTCAGATCTCATTTGCATATGGAATTCGGAAATACCGATTTAAATTCAGGGACGAATTAAAATATACTACAAACAGAACATATGTAATATTATAAATTAAGTTTTCGGAAAAAATCCACCGAAAAAGTTGGTATATATATCTGTCTTTGCATATAGTAATACGTCTGTATTTGCGTATAGTAATATGTCTGTATTTGCGTATAGTAATATGTCTGTATTTGCGTATAGTAATACGTCTGTATTTGCGTATAGTAATATGTCTGTATTTCCGTATAGTAATATGTCTGTATTTGCGTATAGTAATACGTCTGTATTTGCGTATAGTAATACGCCTGTATTTACGTATAGTAATACGCCTGTATTTGCGTATAGTAAAATGTCTGTATTTGCATAGAGTAATACATTCGTATTTGCATATAATTATGTCAGTATTTGCGTATAGTAATACGTCTGTATTTGCGTATAGTAATACGCCTGTATTTGCGTATAGTAATACGCCTGTATTTGCGTATAGTAATACGTCTGTATTTCCGTATAGTAATACGCCTGTATTTGCGTATAGTAATACGTCTGTATTTGCGTATAGTAATACGCTTGTATTTGCGTATAGTAAAATGTCTGTATTTGCATATAGTAATACATTTGTATTTGCATATAATTATATGTCAGTATGTGCGTATAGTAATACGTCTGTATTTGCGTATAGTAATACGTCTGTATTTGCATACAGTAATACATCCGTATTTGCATATAATTATATGTCTGTACTTGCGTATAGTAATACGCCTGTATTTGCGTATAGTAATACGTCTGTATTTGCGTATAGTAATATGTCTGTATTTGCGTATAGTAATACGCCTGTATTTGCGTATAGTAATACGCTTGTATTTGCGTATAGTAATACGTCTGTATTTGCGTATAGTAAAATGTCTGTATTTGCATATAGTAATACATTCGTATTTGCATATAATTATATGTCAGTATGTGCGTATCGTAATACGTCTGTATTTGCGTATAGTAATACGTCTGTATTTGCATACAGTAATACATCCGTATTTGCATATAATTATATGTCTGTGTTTGCATATAATTATATGTCTGTGTTTGCGTATAGTAATATGTCTGTATTTGCGTATAGTAATACGCCTGTATTTGCGTATAGTAATACATCTGTATTTGCGTATAGTAATATGTCTGAATTTGCATATAGTAATACATCCGTATTTGCATATAATTATATGTCTGTATTTGCGTATAGTAATACGCCTGTATTTGCGTATAGTAATATGTCTGTATTTGCGTATAGTAATACATCCGTATTTGCATATAATTATATGTCTGTGTTTGCGTATAGTAATATGTCTGTATTTGCGTATAGTAATACGCCTGCATTTGCGTAAAGTAATACGTCTGTATTTGCGTATAGTAATATGTCTGTATTTGCATATAGTAATACATCCGTATTTGCATATAATTATATGTCTGTATTTGCGTATAGTAATACGTCTGTATTTGCGTATAGTAATATGTCTGTATTTGCGTATAGTAATACGTCTGTATTTGCGTATAGCAATACATCCGTATTTGCAAATAATAATATGTCTGTATTTGCGTATAGTAATACGCCTGTATTTGCGTAC